CCTCTGGGGTGGGGATTGAACTCACACAGGAGGGGTCTGCTGCGCCCTGGGGGTCGCTCACTCCCTGGCCGGGGGCTGCACTCAGGTGCGCCTCCTTGACAGCCTGAGCCTAGGCCCCGCGAGGCCGGACTCGCTCCCACTGCATTCTCGGTGCTCCTGGAGCTGTGCACACCCTCCTGGCTGCCCTGGCCGCCCTGGCCGGGCTCCCTGTGGGTGGAGACTGGGCGGCCGGTGAGCCTCAGGAGGGGGGGTCGCTGTCCCGAGGGCTGGGGGGCCGCTCACGCCTGCCCCCTCTGTCAGGACCGTGAGGGCCTCCCAGGGCCCCATCTACAAAGGCGTCTGCAAGTGCTTCTGTCGGTCCAAGGGCCACGGTTTCATCACCCCGGCTGACGGCGGCCCCGACATCTTCCTGCACATCTCCGAGTGAGTCAGGGGGGCTGAGGGCCCCGGGGCGGGGCTGGGGAGGCCGGGGCAGCGTCCGAGGCTGCAGCGGTCATCCGCAGGGCGCGGGGCCGAGTGACCGTGTGTGGAGCGCGTGAGCAGGGGGCGAGCTCTGAGCTGGGGGCGCTGTAGCTGGTCTCGGGCTGGCTTCCTGCCCTGTGCCGGGGGCAGCAGCCTGGTGAGGCTGGGGGCTGCCGGACCCTCCGCTCCCGGAAGGAAGTTGGGGCTGGACCTGTCCTGCCGCTTGTGCACTGACGTCCTTCCTTCCTTCTGGTGTGTCTGGAAACCGGGGAGGGGGGCGGCGGGGTGGGGCGCACCCATCCGAGGCCTCAGGGCTGGGTGGCGACCTGTCGGTGCTGCTTCCATCTCAGGAAGCTTTCAGATATGAGGGGCCGCATGGGGCACCCCACCCCCGCCCCGGCTTGGCCCTCAGCACCCCAACTTTCATTTCAGTCCACGGCAGGCAAAGTTCTGATTGCGCACAGCGGATCTGAAACTGTGATTTTGAAAACAGGGTCCTGTGGCAGTTGTCTGCAGTGACGGGGTCGCCCCCACTCGTCTGCCCCAGCATCCTCACACATTGGGCCTTAAGTAGGTTCTTCGTGCTGCAGAGATGCGGCTCGTGCACACTGCCGCCTTCCAGAAAGGGCTTGCGGGGCTTACGAGGGCTGACGAGGCTACCCACAGAGCCTTCACGCCTGAAGGCTGAGTAAGGCAAGCTGGCAGTGGGGGCCGTTGCGAACGGTGGCGGCCCTGAGTGGCAGGTGCCAGAAGCAGGCTGTATATTTGTTCCTGAGCTCCCTGGCGGCCAAGGCAAAGAGGGAAACACCACCTGCTATAGGAGTCTTTAGTCAAAAGGGCAGTTCCGGGGGAACTGGCCTGCCCTGCGTCCAGGATCTGAAGGGGCTTTCCTGGGGTCTTGTCCAGGGGGCATCAGGATGGGCACCTCACCATGATGGGGAGATGGTGACTCGGTCCTCTAGAAGGTAAGGGCACCTTCCCAGGGGTGTTCACCAGGGTGAGGACCTTTCCTGGAACTGGCTTTACACAGGAAAGGGACTTTGTGGACGGCTTCCGGGAGGGCGTGCTGCGGGAGCTGGACCCCTCGGCTCTGACCCTTGCTTCTGTCTGGCTCAGACAGGCTCTCCCTGCACCTGCGTGCCCAGGGCCCACGGTGCCCCCATTTAATGCGCAGTGGGGTGTCCTGCGGTGGTGGAGTCCTGTCTGTCTCAGCATCCCAAGCCCCCGGGATGGGGCTGCCGCGTGGCTGGGTCGCAGCGTGGTGGCGCCCCCTGGTGGCGGGGCAGGGGGTCGCTCTGCGGAGAGCCTGGCCGCGGACCACAAGGGCCCCGAGGGGCCGCGTTCCGGCGCCGAGTGGGTGGGGGCTCCGCTGAGCGCCGGTGCTGAGTGCGCTTTTGGCCCACAGTGTGGAGGGAGAGTACGTGCCCGTGGAAGGCGACGAGGTCACCTACAAGATGTGCTCCATCCCGCCCAAGAACGAGAAGCTGCAGGCCGTGGAGGTGGTCATCACGCACCTGGCGCCGGGGACCAAGCACGAGACCTGGTCTGGGCACGTCGTCAGCTCCTAGACCTCACCGGAAGCACCCCTCCTCTGGCGCACCCCTCCTCCGGAGCCCTGGGGACTTGGGGGGAGGAGGAGGCCCGCAAGGACTGGAGACCACGCGGCCCCTTCGGAGGAAGGGGCGTGGGCGCTCGCAGGGTGCTGTGGCCACCAGGGCGGCCGCTGGCCGCGGCAACGACACTCACCGCCTGGAAAACATTAAAAGCATTTGAAAAGGAGGTGCCAGCTGGTGGCTGAGTGGAGGGGCCAGCCCCAACCCGGGGGCAGGAGGCCCAGCCCGCAGAGTGGAGGTGCCGAGCCCCGCCGCGGGCGTCCGGCTTCGTTTCCACCGGGCATCACCTGCCCTGGGCAGAGCCGGGCAGAGGCGCTTTCAGATTCTAGGGGCCTGGCTCAGCCGGGGGAGAGTGGGTAGGTGATGGCTCGGTTGCAGTGGGAGGGGCCTCAGGGCTGCAGTGGGAGGGGCCTCAGCGAGTGTTGGGGCCTCCCCCAAGACAGGCCCCTCGCTCACCCGCCCTCTGGGGGCGGGGCCGGGGGCGGGTCTTCGTTTAAAGCAGCCTTTCCGGTGGAGCCAGGTGGGAGCCAGGTGGGGAAGCGGAGGAGGAGGACGACGATGAAGGTGAAGCCCGCGTCTGGACGCCCCGTAGGTAAAATCCTGAATTGAAGGGGAAAGCCCCTTTGGGGGGGAGGAGTTCGTCTTGAAAACTGGGGTTAAGAAATGCTTAGGAGTTTTGTTTCTAAGTCACTGACGGTCGCCCCCAGCTCTTTGCTCTTGGCTGAGGACTTCCCGGAACCACCACCATTTCCAGTAAATACATCCTTAGGATTTTCTTTGCTGTGGCTTGATTTTTAACATTAGGAGTAGCTGGGTGATTTTTTTTTTAAGATTTTATTTGTGCATACAAGAGCTGGGGCGCAGGCCAGAGGTGGGGGGGGCGGTGAGGGGGGGCGGTGAGAGGCTTCTCCGGAGACAGAGTGGAAGCAAAGCAGGTGGATCTACTGGAAGCCACTCCTGAGGGGCAGCGGGAGACAGGAGGGGTCTCTGCGCCCTGGCTGGGGATTGAACTCGTGTGCTGTGGCTGCGTTAGGTCGTGGTGCTGCGCTCTAACCCTGCCCACGCGGGAGGCCTGTAATGTTTTGAAATATGCGGCCTCTGTGGAGTCCAGGATCTGCTCCCCAGCACAGGAAAGGGCCGGCTGCTTTTGGGCACGAGGCTTGGAGGCTGGTGGGTGGCGGAGACCCAGTCTCAGTTCTCGGCTCTGTGGCCGCGTCGTCATCCAGCCTCGGGTCGCGACGGGGCACAGCCCAGCCGCCTGGCTGGTGGCAGGTGCAGGCGCTTTGGGTCTCCTGTGCGGTGAACCTGCACTCCCTGGGTGGCCAA